ATACAATGAATGTTCATGTTGATATGTGGATTCAGCTCACAGAATTGAACATGTGGTTTCACTTGTAATTTTACAAAGAAAACACTTTCTTTGTAAAATGCAGGAGACAAAAATTCAGAGCCCATTGAGTCCTATATATAAAACAAAATATCCCAGAATGGAAACTAAAAAAAAACCGTGAATTTTTTTTAAGAATTTTTAATTTTCATTATGGTATGACAAATGTGTTTTCAAAATTGCAAGTCAAATTACATGCTAAATTTTGTGAGCTGAATCGACACACCGAAAAAGAACATTCACCATTTTTAAATTTTCATTATGGTATATTTTGTTTTAACTATAGGATTGAAGAATGGGCTCTGAAATTCTTTCTTTTGCATTTTACAAAGAAATTGTTTTCAAAATTTCAAGTCAAACCACATGTTCAATTCTGTGAGATGAATCCACACATCAACAAAAATTTTCACCTTACATTTTTTAAATTTTTATTCTGAGATATTTTGTTTTAACTATAGGACTAACTGGGCTCTTAAATTCTTTCTTTTGAATTTTACAAAGAAAGGGTCTTCAAAATTTCAAGGCGATCCACATGTTCAGTTCTGGGAGCTGAATCCACACATCAAAAAGAATTTACACAATACTTTTTTAAAGTTTTTATTCAGGGACATTTTATTTTAACTGTAGGACTCAATGGGCTCTAAAATTCTTTCTCCTGATTTTTACAAAAAAGTGTTTTCAAAATTTCAAGTCAAACCACACGGTCAATTTTGAAAGCTTAATCCACACATTAAGAAGTATTTTCTGGCCGGGCGCGGTGGCTCAAGCTTGTAATCCCAGCACTTTGGGAGGCCGAGGCGGGTGGATCACGAGGTCAAGAGATCGAGACCATCCTGGTCAATATGGTGAAACCCCGTCTCTACTAAAAATCCAAAAAATTAGCTGGGCATGGTGGCGTGTGCCTGTAATCCCAGCTACTCAGGAGGCTGAGGCAGGAGAATTGCCTGAACCCAGGAGGCGGAGGTTGCGGTGAGCCGAGATTGCGCCATTGCACTCCAGCCTGGGTAACAAGCGAATACTCTGTCTCAAAAAAAAAAAAAAAAAGAAGTATTTTCTGTTTTTTTTTTTTTTAAAGTTTCGCTCTTGTTACCCATGCTGGAGTGCAATGGCACGATCTCAGCTCACTGCGACCTCCGCCTCCTGGGTTCAGGCAATTCTCCTGCTTCGGCATTCTGAGTAGCTGGGATTACAGGCACGCGCCACCATGCCCAGCTAATTTTTTGTATTTCTAGTAGAGACGGGGTTTTACCATGTTGACCAGGATGGTCTCGATCTCTTGACCTTGTGATCCACCTGCCTCAGCCTCCCAAAGTGCTGGGATTACAGGCTTGAGCCACCGCGCCCAACCTAAGAAGTATTTTCAACGTAATTTATTTGTTTTCATTTTGGGATATTTTGTTTCAAATTTAGGACTCAATGGGCTCTGAAATTCTTTCTCCTGAGTTTTACAAAGAAAGTGTTTTCAAAATTTTAGGTCAAACTACATGTGCAATTTTGGGAGCTGAATCCAAACATCAACAAGAGAAGAGTTTTTATCATACAGCTTTTTAGTTTTCATTCTGAGGTATTTTGTTTAAACTATATGACTCAATGGGCTCTGAAATTTGTTCTACTGAATTTTACAAAGAAAGTGTTTTCAGAATTTGAAGTCAAACCACATATTCAATTTCGTGAGCTGAATCCACACATCAACAAGAATTTTCACCATCTATTATTTTAGTTATTATTTTGAGATATTTTGTTTTAACTATAGGACCCAATGGGCTCTTAAATTCTTTCTCCTGAATTTTACAAAGAAAGGGTTTTCAAAATTTCAAGTCAAACCACATGTTCAATTTTGTGAGGTAAACCCACATATCAACAAGAATTTTCACCTTATATTTTTTTAGTTTTCATTCTGGGATACTTTATATTAACTGTAGAATTCAATGTGCTCTGAAATTGTTCCTCCTGAATTTTACAAAGCAGTGTTTTCAAAATTTCAAGTCAAACAACATGGTCAATTTTGAGAGTTGAATCCACACATCAACAAAAATTTACATCGTACATTTTTTTAGTTTTCATTCTGGGATACTTCGTTTGATCTTTTGGACTCAATAAGCTTTGAAATTTTTTCTCCTGAATTTTACAAAGAAAATGTTTTCAAAATTTCAAGTCAAACCACATGTTCAAATTTGTGAGCTGAACCCACACATCAACAAGAATTTTTATTGTACAGTTTTTAGTTTTCATTCTGGGATATTTTGTTGTAAATGTAAGACTCAATGGGCTTTGAAAATCATTCTATTGAATATTACAAAAAAAGTGCTGTTACAATTTCTTGTCAAATGACATGTTCAATTTTGTGAGCTGAATCCACACATCAACAGGCATTTTCACTGTACATATATCTAGTTTTCATTCTGGGATTTTTTTTCAACTATAGGACTTAATGGGCTCTGAAACTTTTTCTTCTAAATTTTACAAAGAAAGTGTTTTCAAAATTTTAAGTCAAACCACATGATCAATTCTGTGAGCTGAATCCACACATCAACAGGCATTTTCACCATACATATGTCTAGTTTTCATTCTGGGATTTTTTTTTAACTATAGGACGTAATGGGCTCTGAAACTTTTTCTTCTGAATTTTACAAAGAAAGTGTTTTCAAAATATTAAGTCAAACCACATGTTCAATTCTGTGAGCTGAATTCACACATTAAAAACCATTTTCACCGTACAGTTTTTTTCGTTTTCTTTCTGGGATATTTGGTGTCTAACTATAGGACTCAATGCTCTCTGAAATTCTTTCTCCTGTATTTCACAAGGAAAGTGATTCCAAAATTTTAAGTCAAACCACATTTTCAATTCTGTGAGCTGAATCCACACATCAAGAAGTATTTTTATGGTACTTATTTTTTTTTTAGTTCTGGGACATTTTGCTTTTAAAGATACGACTCAATAGGCTCTGAAATTCTTTCTCCTGAAATTTACAAGAAAGTGTTTCCAAAATTTCAATTCAAACCACATGTTCAATTTTGTGAGCTGAATCCATACATCAAAAAGCATTTTCACGGTAAATTTTTTATTTTTCATTCTGGGATATTTAGTTTTTAACTACAGGACTCAATGGGGTCTGAATTTCTTTCTCCTGAATTTACAAAGAACGTGTTTTCAAAATTACAACTCAAACCACATGTAAAATTCTGTGAGCTGAATTTGCACATCAAAAAGCATTTTGACAGTACTTTTTTTTAGTTTTTATTCTGTGATATTTTGTTTAACTATAGGTTTCAATGTGCTCTGAAATTCTTTCTTTTGAATTTTACCAGAAAAGTGTTCCCAAAATTCCATGTCAAACCACATGTTAAATTCTGTGAGCTGAATCTGCACATCAAAAAGCATTTTCACCATACAGTGTTTTAGCTTTCATTCTGGGATTTTTTTTTTTTTTTTTTTTTTTTTTTTTACGTATAGGAATCAAAGTGCTCTGAAATTCTTTCTCCTGAATTTTTCAAAGAAGGTGTTTCCAAAATTCCAAGTCAAACCACATTTTCAATTCTATGAGCTGAATCCACACATCAAAAACCATTTTCACCATAGATTGTTTTAGTTTTCATTCTGGGATATTTTGTTTGTAACTATAGGATTCAATGTGCTCTACAATTCTTTCTGCTGAATTTCTCAAAGAAAATGTTTCCAAAATTCCAAGTGAAACCACATTTTCCATTCTGTGAGCTGAATCTACACATCAAAAAGCATTTTCACTGTGCTTTTTTTTTTTTTTTTTTTTGGTTTTCATTCTGGGATATTTTGTTTTTAAAGATAGGATTCATTGGGCTCTGAAATTCTTTCTCCTGAATTTTACAAGAAAGTGTTTCCAAAATTCCAAGTCAAACAACATGTTAAATTCTGTGAGCTGATTCCACACATCAAAAACATTTTGACCGTACATTTTTTTATTTTTCATTAGGGGATATTTTGTTCTTAACTATGAGATTCAATGGGCTCTGAAATTCTTTCTCCTGAATTTTACAAAGCAACTGTATCCAAAATTCAAAGTCAAACCACATTTTGAATTCTGTGAGCTGAATCCGCACATCAGAAAGCATTTTAACCATACAATTTTAGTTTTCATTCTGGGATATTTTTTTTTAACTATATGACTCAATGAGCTCTGAAATTCTTTCTGCTGGATTTTACAAATGAAGTGTTTCCAAAATTTCAAGTCAAAGCACATGTTCAATTCTGTGAGCTGAATCCACACATCAAAAAGCATTTTCACTGAACATTTCTTATTTTTCATTCTGGTATATTTTGTTTTTAGCTATAGGACTCAATGGGCTCTGAAATTCCTTCTGAATTCTACAAAGAATGTGTTTCCAAAATTCCAAGTCAAACCACATGTTCAATTTTGTGAGCTGAATCCACATATCAAAAAGCATTTTCACCGTATATTTTATGAGTTTTGATTCTGGGAAATTTTGTTTTTACTATACGTCTCAAGAGACTGTGCTGGGTGCTGTGACTCTTGCCAGCAATCCAAGCACTTTGGGAGGCCAAAGTGGGCGGGTCACCTGATGTCACAAGTTCGAGATCAGCCTGCGCATCCTGGTGAATACCCGTCTCATTTAAAAAAAGAAAAAAGAAAAAGAAAAGAAATCAGACAGAGCAGTGTGTACAATTCTAAAAAAAAAACAAGGTGCCAGAGAAATCCACCCACCTCCCCGCCTTTCTTTATGATGTACTCTTTCCATCTTGTCACCTAGGCTGGAGTGCAATGGTGCTATCTTGGCTTATTGTAGCACCTGCCTCCTGGGTACAAGCGATTGTCCTGCCACAGCCTCTCTAGTAGCTGGAATTGCAAGTGTCCACACCACCAGGTCCAGCTAACTTTCTGTGTTTTTATTTGTATATCCAATCTATCTGTATTTCATTTCTAGAAAACAGCCACAATGGCAAAAAAAAAATTACAGAACACTGCACACCTTTGCATGTCATCCTTCCGCTGCGGCCATGCCGGCCTTCTGTGTAGCATCCCAATTTTAGGGTAGGTGCTGCCGAAGTGAGCACATGCCATGCCCAGCTCAGCTTTTTACTTTTTTTCTATTTTTATGTTTTTTGTAAGGAGCAAATTGCTCTGTGTCGTTCGAGGCCAGTCTCGAATCTGTGACCTTAGGATTGGCCCGTCTCGGCCTTCCAAAGAGCTGAAATTACAAGCATGAGCCACCGAGCTCAACCCAAGTTTTGTTTTTGTTTTAAAGACAGGGTTTCACCACGTTGGTTGGGACAGTCTCGAACCCACAACCTCATGTGATCCGCCCGCCTTGGTCTTCGCAGCTCCTGGATGACAGGCTCCCTTGAGCCACCGTGGCCAGCCGGCTGACTTTATTATTAAAAAAGAAGTCAGAGAGACTGGGCTGAGCGCTGTGACTCACTCCAGCAATCCTAGCACTTTGGGAAGCCGAGGTGAGTGGGTCACCTTATGTCACAAGTTCGAGATCAGCCTGCGAATCCCAGTGAAAATCCACCTCATTTAAAAAAAGAAAAAAAAAGAAATCTGACACATCAGTGTGTACAATTGTAAAAAAACGAGGTGCCGGATGACTCCACCCCCTGCCCTGCCTTTCTTTATGCCATACTGTTTCCCTCTTGTCACCCAGGCTGGAGCGCAATGCTGCGATCTTGGCTTATTGCAACACCTGACTGCCGGGCAGGTTTTTTTTTTTGTACCTCTAATCTATTTATATTTGATTTCTACAAAACAGCCACAACAGCAAAAAAAAAAAAAAAAATTACAGAACGCTGCACATTTTGCGTGTCATCCTTGGGCTGTGGCCACGCTGGCATTCTTTGTAGCATCCAAATTTCAGTGTAGGTGCTGCCGAAGTGAGCACATGCCATGCCCGGCTCAGCTTTCTTATTTTTTGTTTTACTGTTTTTTATACGAAGCAAGTTGCACTGTGTCATTCTAGGCCTGTCTCGAACCTGGGACCCCAGGATTGGCTCATCTTGGCCTTCCAAAGTGCTGAAATTACAGACGTGAGCCGCCGAGCCCAATCCAAGTTTTCTTTTCGTTTTTAAGATGGGGTTTTACCATGTTGGTCGGGCCAGTCTAGAACCTGCAACCTGGCATAATCTGCCCACCTTGGTCTTCGTAGTGCCTTGATGACAGGCTCCCATGAGCCACCATGCCTGGCCGGCTGATTTTACTGTTAAAAAAAAATCCGAGAGATTGGGCCGGACGGTGTGACTCACTCCAGCAATTTTAGCACTTTGGGAGGCCGAAGTGGGTGGGTCACCTGAGGTCACAAGTTCGAGGTCAGCCTGGACATACCAATGAAAACCCACCTCACTTAAAAAAGGAGAAAAAGAAAAAAAAATGAGACTCATCAGTGTGTACAATTGTAACAAAACGAGGTACCATGTGACTCCACCACACTCCTCGCCTTTCTTTATGATGTATTGTTTCCCTTTTGTCACCCAGGCTGGAGTACAATGGTGTGATGTTGGCTTATTGCAATGCCTGCCTCCTGGGTTTAAGTGATTGTCCTGCGGCAGCCTCCCAAGTAGTTGGGGGTGCAAGTGTCCACACCACCACATCCATCTAACTTTCTGTTTTTTTTTCTTTGTACCTCCAATCTATCTGTATTTGATACAGTAAGGCACTGTGACTCATGCAATGAATCCCAGCACTTTGGGAGGCCAAGGTGGATGGGTCACCTGAGGTCAAGAGTTCAAGGTCAGCCTGGGCATTTCGGTAAAAACCAACCTCACTTGAAAAAGGAGAAAAAGAAAAAGAAATCAGACAGATTAGTGTGCACAGTCAAAACAACAGGAGGTGTCGGGTGACTCCACCCCCCGCCCCAACTTTCTTTAAGACGTACTGTTCCCCTCTGGTCACCGGCTGGAGTGACACAGTGTGATCTTGGCTTATTGCAACACCTGCCTCCTGCATTCAAGGAATTGTCCTGCCAATGCCTCCCAAGTAGCTGGGGTTGCAAGTGTCCGCAGCACCACGTCCAGCTAACTTTGTATTTTTTTTTTTTTTTGCACCTCAAATCTATCTGTATTTGATTTCTACAAAACAGACACAACGGCAAAAAAAAAAAATTACAGAACGCTTCACTCCTTCATGTGTCATCCTTGTGCTTCGGCCATGGTGGCCTTCTGCGTAGCGTCCCAATTTTAGTGTGGGTGCTGCCAAAGTGAGCACATGCCATGCCAGGCTCAGGTTTTTTATTTTTTTCTGTTTTTATGTTTTTTTATAGGGAGCGGGTTGCGCTGTGTCATTTGAGGCCAGTCTCGAACCTGTGACCTTACAATCGGCCCGCCTTGGCATTCCAAAGTGCTGGGATTGCAGGCGTGAGCCGCTGAGCCCAACCCAAGTTTATTTTTATTTTAAAGACGGAGTTTCACCATGTCAGTCGGGCTGGTCTCGAACCCGCAACCTCGCATGATCCGCCCAGCTTGGTCTTCGAAGCTCCTGGATGACTGTTTCCCTTGAGCCACCGTGCCCGGCCTGCCAACTTTATTGTCAAAAAAAGAAATCTGAGAAACTGTGCCAGGCGCTGTGATTCACGCTAGCAGTCCCAGACATTGGGAGGCCAAGATGGGCGGGTCACTTGAGGTCACGAGTTCGAGGTCAGCCTGGGCAGCCCTGTGAAAACCCGCCACTCTTAAAAAAGGAGAAAAAGAAAACTTAAAGTAGTCCGAAACATCAGTGTGTACGATTGTAACAATACGAGGGGTCGAGTGACTCCACCCCCTGCCCCGCCTTTCTTTATGACGTATAGTTTCCCTCTTGTCACCCAGGCTGGAGTGCAACAGTGCGATCTTGGCTTATTGCAACACCTACCCCCGAGTTCAAACTATTTTCCTGATGATTACTCCCAAGTAGCTGGGGTTGCAGGTGTCCTCACCACTATGTCCAGCTAACTTTCTATATTCTTCTTTTTTTTGTACCTCAAATCTACCTGTATTTTATTTCTACAAACAAGCCACAACGGCAAAAAAAAAATTACGCACCACTGCACACCTTTGCTGTCATCGTTGGGCTACAGCCATGGCTTCCTTCTGTGTAGCATCCCAATTTTTGTGTAGGTGCTGCTGAAGCGAGCACATGCCATGCCCAACTCAGCTTTTTAATTTTTTTCTGTTTTAATGTTGTTTTTTTTCATAGGGAGCGGGTTGCGCTGTGTCGTTCGAGGCCAGTCTCCACCCTGTGACCTCACGATCGGCCCGCCTCGGCATTTTAAAGTGCTGGAATTACAGGCATGAGCCGCCGAGCCCAACCCAAATTTTACTTTATTTTTTTAAAGATGAGGATTCACCATTTCAGTAGGGCCTGTGTCGAACTGGCAACCTTGCGTTATCCACCCCCCTTGGTTTTCGAAGCACCTGGATGATTTCCTGTGGGCCTCTGTGCCTGGCCTGCCGACTTTATTGTCGAGAAAAAATAAGAGAGACTGGGCCAGGCACTGAGACTGACGCCAGCAATCCCAGCACTTTGGGAGGCCGAGGTTGGTGTGTCACCTGAGGACACGAGTTCGAGGTCAGCCTGGGCAGCCCGGTGAAAACCCACCACTCTTAACAAAGGAGAAAAAGAAAACTTATAGTCCGAAACATCAATGTGTACAATTGTAACAAAACGAGGTGTCGGGTGACTCCAAGCCCCGCCCCGCCTTTCTTTATGACCTACAGTTTCCCTTTTGTCATCCAGGCTGGAATGCAACAGTACGATCTTGGCTTATTGCAACAACTCCCTCCTGGGTTCAAACTATTGTCCTGATAATGCCTCCCAAGTAGCTGGGGTTGCAGATGTCCACACCACCACATCCAGCTAAATTTCAATTTTTCTTTTTTTTTGCACCTCAAATCTACCTGTATTTTATTTCTACAAAACAGCCACAATGGCAACAACAACAACAAAAAAATACGAACCACTTGCACACCTTTGCATGTCATCGTTGGGCTGTGGCCACGGTGGCCTTCTATGTAGAGTCCCAATTTCAGTGTAGGTGCTGCCGAAACAAGCACATGCATGCCCAGCTCAGGTTTTTTTTGTTTTTTTTTTATAGAAAGCAGGTTGTGCTGTGTCGTTTGAGGCCAGTCTTGAACCTGTGACCTCACGATCGGCCTCCCTTGGAATTTCAAAGTGCTGGGATTACAGGCTTAAGCTGCTGAGCCCAACCCAAGTTTTGTTTTTGTTTTAAAGACAGGGTTTCACCATGTCGATCGGGCTGGTCTCGAACCTGCAACCTTGCGTGTTCTGCCTGCCCTGGTCTTCGAAGCGCCAGAATGACAGGCTCTTGTGAGCCACCATGCCTGGCCCGCCGACGTTATTGTAAAAAAAAGAATCGGAGAGACTGGGCGGGGTGCTGTGACAAACGCCAGCAATCCCAGCACTTTGGGAGGCCGAGGTGGGCGGGTCACCTGAGGTCACAAGTTCGAGGTCAGCCTGGGTAGCCCAGTGATAACCCACCTCACTTAAAAAAAAGAAAAAGAAAACAAAGTAGTTTGACACATCTGTGTGTACAATTGCATCAAAACGAGGTGTCGAGTGACTCCACCCCTTGCCCCGTCTTTCTTTATGACGTACAGTTTCCCTCTTGTCACCCAGGCTGGAGTGCAACAGTGCGATCTTGGCTTATTGCAACACCTCCCTCCTGGGTTGAAGCTATTTTCCTGATATTGCCACCCAAGTAGTTGGTGTTGCAGGTGTCCACACCACCATGCCCAGCTTTCTATTTTTTTTTATACCTCAAATCTACCTGTATTTTATTTTTATAAAACAGCCGCAATGGCAAAAAAAAAAAAAAAAATACAGACCGCTGCACACCTTTGCGTGTCATCGTTGGGCTGTGGCCACAACGGCATTCTGTGTAGCATCCCAATTTTAGTGTAGGTGCTGACGAAGTGAGCACATGCCATACCCGGCTCAGCTTTTTAATTTTTTTCTGTTTTAATGTTTGTTTAATAGGGAGTGGGTTGCACTGTGTCGTTCCGGGCCAGTCTCGAACCTGTGACCTAATGATAGGCCCGCCTCAGCATACTAAAGTGCTGAATTACAGGCATGAGCTGCCGAGCCCAACCAAAGTTTTGTTTTTGTTTTAAAGACAGGGTTTCATCATGTTGGTCAGGCCGGTCTCGAACACACAACCTCGCATGATTCGCCCACCTTGGTCTTCGAAGCACCTCATGACAGGCTCCTGTGAGCCTCTGTGCTTGGCCCGCCGACTTAATTGTCAAAGAATAAATCCGAGAGACTGGGTCAGGCGCTGTGACTCACGCCAGCAATCCCAGCCCTTTGGGAGGCCGAGGCGGGTGGGGCACCTGAGGTCACGAGTTCGAGGTCAGCCTGGGCAGTGAACACCCACCTCACTTAAAAAAGGAGAAAAAGAAAAGGAAAAGTAGTCGGACACAGAAGCATGTAAAATTGTAACAAAACGAGGTGTCGGGTGACTCACCCCTTGCCCCGCCTTCCTTTATGACGTACAGTTTTCCTCTTGTCACCCAGGCTGGAGTGCAACAGTGCGATCTTGGCTTCCTGCAACACCTCCCTCCTGGGTTCAAGCTATTGTCCTGATAACGCCACCCAAGTAGCTGGGGTTGCAGGTATCCACACCACCACGTCCAGCTAACTTTCTATTTCCCTTTATTTTTTGTACCTCAAATCTCCCTAATGTGTTATTTCTACAGAATGCCCACAACGGCAAGAAGGAAAAAAAAGAAAATGTACGGACCGCTGCACACCTTTTTGTGTCAGCGTTAGGCTGCGGCCACGGCGGCCTTCTGCATGGCATCCCAATTTATTGTAGGTGCTGCCGAAGTGAATGCACGCCATGCCCAACTGAGCTTTTTAATTTTCGTTCTGTTTTTTTTTTTTTTTTTTACATTTTTTTTTATAGGGAGTGGGCTGCGCTGTGTCATTCGAGGCAAGTCTCGAACCTGTGACCTAATGATAGGTCCGCCTCGGCATTCCAAAGAGCTGGGATTACAGGCGTGAGCTGCTGCAAAGCCCGATCCAAGCTTTGTTTTCATTTTAAAGACACAGTTTCACCATGATGGTCGGGCCGGGCTCGAACCCGCAACCTCGCGTGATCCACCCACCTTGGTCTTCGAAGTGACTGGAGGACAGGCTTCCATGAGTCTCTGTGCCCGGCCCACCAACTTTATGGTCAGAAAATGAATCCGAGGGACTCGGCCGGGAGCTTTTACTCATGCCAGCAATCCCAGCCCTTTGGGAGGCCGAGGTGGGCGGGCCACCCGAGGTCACGAGTTCGAGTTTAGCCTGGGCAGCCTGGTGAAAATTCACCTCACTTAAACAAAAGGAAAAAAAAAAACGAATAGTCCGACACAGCAGCGTGCACAATTGTAAGAAAAGGAGGTGTCAGGTGACTCCGTCCCCCGCCCCACCTTTCTTTATGACGTACAGTAAGTCTCCCTTTTGTCACCCAGGCTGGAGTGTAACACCAACCTCCTAAGTTCAAGCTATTGTCCTGATAAGGCCTCCCCAGTAGCTGGAGTTGCAGGTGTCCACACCACCACGTCCAGCAAACTTTCTATTCTTTTTTTCGTTTTTGTACCTCAAATCTCCCTTTATGTTATTTCTACAGAATTGCCACCATGGCAAACAAAGAAAATATACAGAGCGCTGCACCTTTCCGTGTCATCGTTGGGCCGCGGCCACGGCGGCCTTCTGCATGGCATTTCGATTTTAGTGTAGGTGCTGCCAAAGCAAGCGCATGCCATGCCCAGCTAAGCTTTTTAATTTTCGTTCTTTTTTTTTTAAACGTTATTTTATATAGAGAGGGCTGCGCTGTGTCGTTCGAGGCCAGTCTCGAACCTGTGACCTCACGATCGACCCACCTCGGCATTCCAAAGTGCTGGAATCATAGGCGTGAGCCTCCGCCGAGTCCGACCCAAGCTTTGTTTTCCTTTTACAGACGGGGCTTCCCCATGACGGTCGGACCGGTCTTGAACCTGCAACCTCGTGTGATCCGCCCGCCTTGGTCTTCGAAGTGCCTGGAGGACGGGCTCCCGAAAGCCTTTGTGCCCGGCCTGCCGACTTTATGGTCAGAAAAGAAATCTGAAGAACTGGGCCGGGTGCTGTGACTCATGCCAGCAATCCCAGCCCTTTGGGAGGCCGAGGCGGGCGGGTCACCTGAGGTCACGTGTTCGTGGTGAGCCTGGGCAGCCTGGTGTAAACCCACC